CCCCACTGCCTCCCGCTGCACCGTTCTGCAGCCCCACTGCCTCCCTGCTGCACCCCCGGCATCCCCACTGCCACCCCTTGCATCCCACTGTACTCCCCACTGCACCCTTCACTGCATCCCTCATTGCGCCCCTCACTGCAGCCCCCTGCGCCTCTCCCCTGCACACTCTGCCGAGCCCCCCTGGTTCCCGGTGCTGTTCCACTTGCACCTCCGCTGCCATCCCATGCACTGCCGACCTGCAGCCCCCAGGACATCTCCCACAGTCTCTGCAGCCAGATCCCTCCCGCACCCCCATCTCAGTGTCCTTCTCTGCCCTTCACCTTCTGCCAGCGACCTGCATAGACAGGGGACAGCCTGTCCCACTGCCCCAGTACCCCAGGGTGGAGGGAATGGTGCAATAGTAAGTTGTACCCTCGAGTAAGGAGCATGGCAGAATTGCAGGGACCAARCCAGGGTGTTGGGAGCGTGGTGGGATAATGGGGAACATAACTGGGTGGTGGGTAACTCAGTGGGATGGATGGGGAGCATGACAGAGTAATCAGCTGGATGATGGAGAACACAGCACGGTGAGTGCGGAGCATGGACAGCTGTAGCCCAGCCACTGCAACCTCCCTGGTGCAAGCAGCAGGGCTCAGGAAGGGAGATCCCACCTTTCTCCTATCTTTGTTCACCCTCATACATCACAGGGAGAGAAATTCAGGGCAGAGATGTTTGCAGGCGGTGGTCCCATCCCCGTGAGGCTTGGGGCCAGAGTTGCCGGCCAGCAGCCAGCTGCTTTCTGCTCCTGCTTGGGAGSACARAGGATTTTTGTGGYGGGAGCACCACCCAGCTCCCAGCCCACTGTGTCACGAGGCCAGCGTGCCTCTGTGGTATGCCCTTCTGTCCAACTCAGGGTACAGAGGGGAGTGTGGGATGAGGGACAGTGCCATAGGGGGTCACAGGCCTTCCCAGCACTGCCCACCCAYGCTTCTCCCTGACAGATGACATCAGGGCTGTGATGTTGTTGCTCACTGGTGCTGTGATCCCTGCTGTGCCCCTGCTACCTTATTGGTGGGCCCTGTGACTGTGCCCCGTTCCTCTCCACGGCTTGGCCACACATGGGGTGTTCCAGCTGTCTGGAATGTGCATCTGGAGGACGTGGGGTGCCCTGGCAAGCTCCTGGAAGATGGTGGGGCAGGCAGTGGGGCATRGTGTGCAGTGGGAAGGGGCAGGAGCTCAGGGACATGTACTGCGATCTCATCCTGAAGGTGATGCATGGCATCCAGGATGTGGATCCATCAATACATCCTCAACTGCTTCAACATGGACTGCTTGCCCACTTTCCTGGCTGGACTTGACCTGGCATAGCCTAGCCTCTACACGGTGTCCCTTCTCTTCCAGAAGTGGCAGGCCACATGCCAGCTCTCCACCAAGTGGCATGTGGCATGGCAGGACTATTCCCATGATAGGTCTATCCACCCTACACCAGCAGTATTGACTACTTTCTCTCCCTGAATGTGGCAAAGAGATTCTAGAGGCAGAAARCAAATGGCCCCATCCCCAAGGAGAATGCATACAAACTGGTGAAGGTGGTGGGGTCCAAACAGGAGTCAGTGGCCACGGCATGTCTGCAGCTACTGTTACCCAATGGTGATCCATGCACTGAAGCAGGAGGATCCCTGCAGCACTGGCCAGATTGTCCCCTGGAAGGGACCTGGTGAGTACCTGGACATCAAGGGACATCAAGACGAAGACATCAAGCTGCTGCACACACTGCTTCCTCAGCCCCAGTGCTGCCCAGCATTACCCACCCCAGCCTCCTCCCTTGGAGAAGGATGCAGCCTGGCAGTCTGGGCTTCYTGCTCTCCAGTCCTGGCAGCTGCCCTGCTCGGCTCCACAGCCCAGCAGCACATTCCCCAGGCAGGGGAACATGGAAGGGTAGACAAAATATATCTACCCTATGCTGTGTGGGCTGGGAGTTTCTCAGAGTCTGTAAATAGATGAGTTCCCCTCCTGCTCATCTCGAAACTCAGAAGGGGAACATTCCCCAGAGAGGAGGAAAGAATTGATCAGTGGCCATCACTGGTAGAAAAGCTATTTTTAATTTTATTAAAATGTCTCTCTAGTATAAACTTTCAAAATATCTGGAACCTCTGCTATAAAGATTTGTGCCGTGGCTGTGTAGCAAAGCCTGGGGCCAGTGCYGGTGGCACTCATGGGGTGATGCACCTGGCATTAGGGGACAGCTGAGGTTCCTCTTTGTGATCCAGGGAAGTGTGGAGAGCACTGGGGGAGCAGGGCACTCCGGGGCCACCCTCAAGAAGGGGCATGTGGGGGATGTAGTGGCCAATGGGGCCAGGATGGGTCTGCGGCCGGAGCAGGAGCTGGTGCAGGGTCTCTCCCACCTGCACGAGGCTGTGGGAGAGGAGGTGCAGGTGGGACACTGTGTCACTGGCCAGGCTCTCCAGCAGCGCCTGCTGCTGCCGTGACGTCTGCAGGATCTGCACCAGCAGCTGCTGGACRTTCTGGAGCAAGCCCGCCACACCAGACCCTGCAGTGAGAGAGGGGTCAGTGACACCTCACTGTGGCTCCAAGAGCTCCCTGTGAGGCTGTTGGGAAGCTGCAGGGAGCACCCACCATGCAGGCTGGGGTCTGATGCATCTTCAGCTGCTGCTGGCTGCTCGCTCATGGCTGCTGTCCCGTGGGAGCCTGTGGCTGTGGCAGCCGCTGGCAGCATTTGGTTTCTTCTTCCCGTCCCCAGGGACATCTCACCAGGAAAACCTGTCACGAAAGCTTGGCATGGAGGCAACAGCCAGAGTGAGGGAGACACCCAAGCCCCAAACTTAGCTTGACCATGACACAGAGCCTTGGGAGGGCACTGCCTCTGGGAGCCTGTGCCCAGCATTCCCACTTGCAGGACAGGACAGAGCTGTGCCCTGGAGTTCAAAGCTGCAGACACTTACCAGCCTTTTCCTCAGCTCCTTCCTGCTTCACTTCAGTGTGACAGCCTGCAGGGAGAGCAGAGACAGCCTGTGAGCTGCAGCCACCTCCTGCGCCAGGGCAAACAAGCATGGTAGCCAGGGCATGGTACTCACCCAGGAGGGAGAGGGGAGGGAAGCAGCAACTGGCGTCTGCAATGAGAACCGAATCAGACCCTGCTCATGGGGCTGAGGGGGTTTACTGGGCTGAGCAGGGCAAGGAAAGCCTTACGTGGCATGGTGGGGTGCGTGGGTGGCACTCCAGCAACATGGTCCCCATCAGCTGCTGGGAGAAAGCAGAGAGGAGAGATACGCCATCTGAAGGGACCTGCTGGTGGATCGCCGCCAGCTTGGGGTCTGCCCGGTTGCCCCAGCCAGCCCCACAGCCTGACATGCCCTAGCCATAGCTCCAGAGTGCCCTGCAGGGCCCCAAAGCGTTTCAGAGCTAGGTACAAAAGCAGGAGTCACTCACCCACCACTGCAATGCAGCCACCCCTGGGCTGGAAGGCAGCAGCGGCGGAGCAGYGCGCAGCAACGCTACACAACACATTAGGACTGGAAGTGAAGGAGAATCCCACATCCACTTGAAACTGCAGGGGGAATTTGGGGAGACAGAAGGCAGTTACCCAGTGTGGGAGGCTGGCTGGGGCACCCACGCAAACCAGACTCAGGGATGCATCCTGCATCACCTCAGTGCCAGATCCCTGGGAGTGCACACAGTGAGGGGGGTGCAGGATACACGCCTGGGTGGGCTGCAGGGCAGGGGAGCTGCAGGCAGCTCTGGCCCTCACACAGAGCCCTAACTCATCTGAAACCTTGTGGTGTTACTGGGCAAGTGTGGAGCCAGGAACTGCTGAAGGAAAGGCAGTGCTACCAGTCACAAGAGATCCCTGCGCTGTATCAGGGCCGCTGTCCCATACAGGCCTTGTGCCTTGTGATCTGCCATAGGGCAGCCAGCAGCCTTGCCATGCCCTCAGGCTGGGACCCTCTCCTGCACTATCCCAGCCATCCTCATCCCCTCATGCTCAGGGGCTGGTTTAGAGCCAAAGCCTTTGGAGACAGAAGTCCTAACACAGCCATCCTGCAGAGGGACAGATGATGGAYTCCCTGATCCCCTAAGCCTCCCATTCCCATCATGCTGGCACGAGTTTGGGCTGGAGTCGTGGCTTGGTACTTACGACTCTGTGGCTCGCCCTTTGCACACTGCAGCATCGGCGACAGGAGCGTGCCAGGGTCATCCCCGCCAACATCGTGCTCTGCAGAAGGAGGTGAAGGGGTGCACAAAAGAGCTTCAATAACTGGGACAAGAGGGGTGTCTGTCACCTCGCAGCCAGGACATGCCCCACTCTGGCTGCCTGAGCCCACGGGTACCTGGTGGCTCTGGTGAGGACGAAGACCGTGTGGCACGGGCTGACCTGCGCTTCCTGGAAGGCAGCTTCACCATATCTAGGGGAAGAGAAAGACCATCAACAGACCCTGGGTGTCCACGCAGCAACAATGCTCCACCAGCACCCCACGACCAGCCACGCTGCTAAGCCCACACGCCCGTCCCCGGCACCYACCTGGCATCCTCCGCTCGCCGAACACGGGCCTCCCAGCCGCCTTCCAGATGCTCTTCATGGCTCGGTAGTGCGGCGGCAGCCGGGGCGAGTGGTGTCCTGCCCTCCGGCGCGTCTCCCGCTCTGAGTGGAAAGCCTGCTTGAGCGCCTTCCACTTGGAGCGGCACTGGGCCACGCTGCGCCCGTAGCCGGCCGCCGCCAGCCCCCGGGAGATCTCCCGCCACAGCGCCTCGTTGGGTCGCGACGTGGAGGCCATGAGCAGGGCGGCCTCCCCCGAGCCCCCCACCAGCGACAGGAGGCTGCTGACCTCCGCCTGCGTCCAGGCTCGCCCGCGGGGCATCCTGCCGGCCCGGGGAGGGGGTGCCCGCGATCGCTCGGGCCCGGGCCGGCGGCGGGCACAGAGCAGCGCCGGGCTCAGCCGTGCGCTCCCGAGGGCGCACCGGGAGGATGCCCCGCCGGGGGCGGCACCGGAGTTGCACCGAGAGCCGCCCCGGGAGCTGCACCGGGAACCGACGGGAGCCGCCCCGGTGGCCGCGCCGGGATCCGCGCCGGGATCCGCCACACCGGGAGCCGCACCGGGAGCCGCACAGGGAGCCGCACCGACCGCCCCTACGCCGCACCGGGCGCCGCGCCGGGAGCTGCCGGGAGGCGCCGGGAGCCGCATCGAGCATGTGCAGCCCCGGGAGGAGCCGCTGGGAAACGTAGTCCTGGAGGAGACATCCTCCCCCAGCGATAGCCGCCAGCCCGCTGCGGGATCGTTGCCTGCCCGCAGGCTCCCGGGGGTCGCGGGGACTCTGCCGCTCCCCACACGGCGGCACGGCAGGGATGGCCACCATGGCAGCCCATGATGCTGAAGGCTGGGGCTGTGGAAGGAGCACCCCAGCCCCCCCAATTTCCAGGGCTGAGATGCAGTTGCAGCCCCACCAAAAAGAAAGGGTAGCAGAAACCACTTGTAAGCAAATACAAGCAAATACTTGCTGCTCGAAGAGAGGGCCATGGGAATGTGTCCTCTGCCCCAAGGATACTGAGTCTTCCCTTGCAGTCCCTAGGGCAGATCAGACTGAGAGAGTTGAGCTTGTTCAGCCTGGACAAGAGAAGGTTCTGTGGAGGAGAACTTAAGCAGCTTTTCAGCACCTGAAGGACTGCAAGAGAGCTGAAGAGAGACTTTTTACAAAGTTGTTTAGTGATAGAATGAGGAAGAATGGCTTCAAACTGACAGTGAAGTCTCAAACTGCAGGGTTAAGGTAGATATTAATCATAGMATCACAGAATATCCTGAGTTGGAAAGGACACACTGGGATCATCAAAGTTCAACTCCTGGCCTTGTACAGGATACCCCCAACATTCCCACCATGTGCCTGAGAGCATTGTACAAACACTTCCTTAATTCTGTCAGTCTCCGTGTTGTGATCACTTCCCTCGGAAGCCTGTTCCAGTGCCCAACTACCCTCTGGGTGAGAAATCTTTTAATAATATTCAACCTAAACCTTCCCTGACACCATTCCCTTGGGTCTGTCACTGGTCACCAGGGAGGGACTGCCYCTCTGCTACCCCTTGTGAGGAAGTTGTAGCCTGTGATGAGGTCTCCCCTCAGTCTCCTCTTCTCCAGGCTGAACAAACYAAGTACCTCAGCAGCTTCTCATACAGCTTTCCTCGTTTTAKGAAGAAATTCTTTACTGTGAGGGTGGTGCGGCACTGGAACAAGTTGCCCAAGGAAGTTGTCAATGCCCCATCCCTGGAAGTGTTCAGAGTCAGCTTGGATGGGGCTCTGAACAACCTCATCTAGTGGAAGGTGTTCCTGTCCTTGGCCGGAGGCTTGGAATGAGAGGACATTTAAGGTCCTTTACAGCCCAGATCATTCTATGATTCCATGATGTGTCTGCCCAGCCCAGCCCAGCCCAGCCCTGGCTCCATGTTTGAGCCAGCAGCCACCCCCACTGCTCGCTGCCCCAAAGCCAGGAGTGCGGGGACTCCTCCTGCTGCAATGTCTGGGTGCTGGCCTCGACAGGGCTGTCCCTTGCCCCAGGTGTCTGGCAGTCTCACAGCCACCTCCCCACCTCGGCTTTTGTCCCAGGTGGTGCCTCTGGGGACCCCACCAGGAAGTGACACTTTCCATTTTGCATGACACCCGTCTGACAAGCTGGGCTGGGAAAGGGTTGCTGCTACCTTCGTGGGCTGCAGAGCAGGAGACCAAGGGAGGGATGGAAGAGGGTGTCACGTACGCTGACCTGCGCTTTCGCCCCACACCAGGTAATGGCCCCCCAGCTCTCTCAGTGGGATCCCTGCCCTCCTGCAGCCCCTTGTCCTCCCCAGAAATGTCCTCCTAGACCTGGACCCTTCCCCCCTTCCTTTTTGGGTGTCCTCTCTCAAACAGCTCCTCTCCAGCCTTCTTACAGACTGCCTGCACTCAGGGTGGGGATCAAGAGGGTCTCAAGGGCAGGGAATGCCCTCTGCACCCCATGCCACAGCAGACACAGACATCCCCCTCTCTGCTCTCCCCACCAAGTGTTGTGTGCAGGGAGATGGTTTCTAGGACAGTCAAGCTGCTTCAAACAGGTTCTACCCCACTTTTTCCAGACTCCCCCCACTGCTTCCTGACATCCCACATGGGATTCACAGACCTTTTCTAGCTCAGGGTTCCCCACTGCTCCCTCCAAGCCCCCCCGGTCTATGTTAACTCCTTTTCTCAGCTCCTCAGCAGATAGTGCGCCTGCCCTGGTGCTGGGCAGCTCTCAGCCTGGGTCTCCTCTCCCTGATGCTCCTGCTGGCYCAAATCATCCTCGTCAGCCTGAGTTTCCACTGTAAGTACCAATGTGCCTGTGCCAGGATCTCTACAGCTGGGGTCCTGGGGTTGGGGTTGGCATYGCAGGGTTTGTGTACCAACAGACAGAGCTGCAACTTCCCCACGGAGCTGGGCACTTCTGCTTGGGGCTGAGGGTGTTGAGGGTTCTGGGGCAAGCAGGAAAATTGGTGAGGCAAAACACCACCCACGTGTCTGGGAGAGGAAGCTGGGGCGACAGTGTGGGCTTGGGGAAAGCCACTCCATCACATGGCAAAGAAAGGAAGGCAGGAGGGAGAGCGCTGATACTGAAACCAAAAGACAGCAGCACTTTCCCCGAAAGCCTGTTGTGTGGAGGGCTCCCAAGTACAGAAAAGGCTGCAAGGACCTTGGCAGGTTTGGTGTACCTGAAGCAGGGGACACCTTACCCACAGCCATAGGGCTGTCCTGAGGGAGAGGACACCAGGTGCTGCTGGGGGCAGGAGCCCAGAGTTTCTGGGACACCCCTGTGCTCCTCTTTCGTAGATTTAGTGCAACAACAAGAGAGATGTACCCACTGTCTCTGGGGCACAGAGGAGAGCCCCAGCTATGGGAAACAGACACTGCAAGGTAAGAGAGTCTGGTGGGCTCCTGGATAAGGTTTGGAGAGGGCCTGGATGCTCTTTTMAAGCAGCAGGATCTGTCAATACTCGAGGACATTTCTCCCAGCTCCATCCCTATATGCCTTCACCCATGTTCCTGTTGCCTGGCTCATGGCATGGTGAGCTGCCCCAGCACTGCTGAGCAGGTTGAACTGCCAGGAGCTCTTTAAAAGCCATGACCCCAGATGGTTCAATCCTACCTGGGCACGCCACCAGCACCAGGCTCATGGTTGCCAYCAGCATCCCTGTGCCAGATGGTATCAGCTTCTGGTGCAGCTGAAACCTTGACTGAGTTCCCAGCKCTTTGGAAACTGTGTATCCCCTCCCCAAACCTGCATCTCCCTGCCCTGCCCGATGCCAGCACATCCCTGTAAGTAGCCCCTCTTCCCAGGGGTCTGGGACTGGAAGGCTGGAGCTGGGCTCCCAAATCAGGGCAAGTGCTGAGTGGTCTCTCTGGGGGAARAAAATATGAACACCCTGGGTTGGCTGCTACCTGGACTGTCTGCTGTCATTTTCCTGTCCCTTGAGCTGGGACTGGTGGCAGCCCCTGCCAGGTGCCCCATCCCAGCTGCTGCATTTCTGRTGTGCAGGGCCATGCCAGTTCTGCCCAGTCGGCTGGCTCTGGGATGCAGGGCAGTGTTACTACTTCTCCTCTGCCAGAAAGAGCTGGGATCAGAGCAGAGAGGACTGCTACTTCAGAGGGGCACAGCTGGCCACTGTCCAAGCCAACACCACCCTGGTGAGTGCACCCAGCCTGGCCTGTCCAACTCCCTGTCAGCATTGGGCTGACCCCAGTGGTCACCCACCACAGCATTGTCTCAGCTCCCTGGTCCAGGTGCCCAAAACCAGGCAGGGAGCTGGCAGTGCTGTGCCCATGCAGCACAGCCCCTGTCATGAACTGTGTGGCTGGGCTGTGTGTCCCCCCAGGGGTCTCATGTGGGTCCTCTCCTGTGCTAGGCTTTCCTGGTGCGCACAGCTCACATGGAGATCTTCCACGTGGGGCTGAGGCAGGATCCCTTCAGGTCTGACTGGAAGTGGCTGGATGGCACCACACTGGAGGGGTRAGGCTGTCAGCTTGTTCCCAGCCAGGGCTGCTGAGGGTCCAGGGCTAGGGGAGGTGACAGTGAGGGACAGGCAATCCWCTGGCATGCAGGGAGTGCTCCATATTTTGGCTGCCTCTTGTCTTTCCAGGAATGCATTGGGGCATTATAAGGAAGGGGTATTTTTAGCAGGGTGCCCACACTCAGCCTGGGTGAAGGGCTGTGGAGAATCCCCCAAAAGCAGATTCCCAGTTTGGTTGGTGCAGTCAGTGTTTAGCCCTGCCAGGAGTGACCTGGGGGTGCCTTGTGAGTGATGGAGCAGGGGACATCAGAGCATGTGGCCTAACTGGGAGGAGGGTGGCAGGAGCCTGTGCTCATGGGCAGGGTGAGCTTTGCCCCACAGCATCCCTGTGCAGCGTCTGGTTCCTGGCTGCAGGAGCTGCTGATGGAACAGCCTCAGCTCTTCCTGCCCATTCCATTTCAGCCCACTGTCTCCCTTGCAGGACTGTCCCAATCCAGCGCTATGCCAGGTCCTACCAGGTCTGTGGCAGRGTGTCAGGCTTGGGACTGTCAGGTGGAGCATGCATGGAAGCCCTCAGATGGATCTGCAAGCAGAGCGCAGCCACCGTGCAGTGGATCCAGTCCTCGCCTCCCGCCTTCCTCTGGGGAAACACCACCTACAGCTGTGTGAGACCCTGATGGCCACGGGGACCCCCAGCCTGWGCCACCACTCTGTTCCCTGCCTGACCTCAGTGCATGGCCATTCCCAGGCACTGCTGTCTCTTTACCCCCAGGAACTCTGCACTTTGCCAATAAACTCTGCCAATAACTGCTGCTGGCTTTGGGGTATGAGGGTGTTAGATGGAGGTGCAGCCTCCAGCTCCCTGACCTGGTTGCATCACTGCCCATTGGGAAATTGCACCTGGTAYTCTGTGTCCAGGAGCCAGCACAGAACCAGGAGCAATCTGAGCATCCTCATGGCAGCGTGAGGCAGCTCCTGTGCGGGCTGACACAGGTCCCTGGAAGCTTTGGGCTTTCTGGTGGTGGGTTTATGCTTCTTGGGGCACACTGCTGAGAGGTGACCCTTTGCCTCTGCCGTCCTACGGAGGGCTTGGGCTGGACAGCAGCTTGTTTGCTGATGCTTTCCCTGTCTGAGGAGATCCCAGCAAACACCCTCACTTTGTTTTGGGACTRAGTGATGTGTGAGAGCCTAGAAAGCCTGCCGGGGCTTGATTTGAAGTTGCTTGGTCCCAGAGGCTATTCTCGATTCAGTGCAGACCACTGGGTTGCTCCAGCAGCATGCAGCTCTGGCACAGATATCCCCGGGTCTCCCTCCCTGCCTATGCAAAAGACCAAACCCCCACAGTCAGTGGCCCCTGTCAGCCTGAGCAGGGGCTGGGAGGGGCAAGGTGATGCATGGGGAAGTGTAGCCCTGCTGTGGCCAGTACACATGGGCTTGGGCTCCTCTCAGCCTGGGGACCTGGACACAGAGCACGTTGTCCAGGACAGAGCTCACGCATCTCCGACCCCACAAAGTGAGAGCATACGCAGAAACGAACCACTTTTTGCAAATAAAGCAGCTACTTCTGCTTTTCTGCATGCAAAGATGTGTCTCCACCCAACATGGTTTTAGCCACAGTCTGCCACCTGACCACAATGCACAAGGACAGGACTGGGTTCCTGGACTGCTGCTGCCCAGCCGCCTGCATGGAGTGGTCTACAATAAACTGAAGTTTGCTGAGGATCCTGCTCACTGCCCCCACGTGCCCTGCAGTCCCTGATGAGGATGACAGCCACTAGGACAACCTGCTGCTGGGGCTGGTGCTGAACAGTGTCTAGCCCAGCTGAGAACCTGCCCCTGTCCATTGCCACAGGGACACYCCAGCACAGGATGGGCACTGGGTGATGGCAGTGGCACCATGGTGTGATGCTCATGGGCTGCGTGCCCTGGAGGAGTTACCATGTCTTTAACTCGAAGGAAAAGAAGACCTGACTGAGCAGCCATTACAACTRCATGGGGAAATTCCCTTGACTGCTGGTCCAGGGTCCAAGGCCATCCAAGGTCCATGGATTGCACCCCAGAATGGGGTGGGTCTGGGCAGAGCGGGTCTTAGCCGGGTGGGTCTGGGCAGAGCCTCATGGGGCCAGCAGCAGGATCTGTGGAGGTCCTGGGGTGACACCRGACCCTGGGTTCCCATCCCGAGAGAGGAGAACAGCCGGGCCTGGTGTCCTGGACGCCAAAAGGCTGCTGGGCATGGGACAAGTGGTTGTTATAAATACGTATTATACTGTTGGCTTTCACACATATTAAGATGAGTCCTATGTGTACAATGTTGCCTTTTTTTTTATTTTTATAAGTAATGCAGACACAGTGGTAAAAGAATCACTGGAGTTTTTGTTTCTCTTTTGTAACTCAGACATAGTTACAGAATACTTGTGGTTAAACTGCAGTGTTATGGCTTGTGACTTAAACATTTCCATGAAGGACATTTTTCATATTATAGCAAAACTATGCAAAAGCTGCAAAGAAAGTCACCAAAAAACCCTGACTGAGGCCCTGGCGGCAGGGGTCCTTAAAGATAGGAAACAGCTTGGGCTGGGGGAAAAAGATGCATACATTCACAAAGAGATCACAAAGTTCAGAACCTTTGGAGTGGGGAGGCCATCTCCTCAGGACTCTCAGCTGCCAGGCCAGCACAGATCCTGAAAGCAAAAGGGTGGGGGTGGAAAGAACAGAGGCTTTGGGATGTGTAGTGAGAAGTCTCTGGTCAGAGATCATGGAATGTTCATCCTCTGTTGTGCAGAGGAGCCTGGTTGGTGGGACACCCAACCTTCAGATGGGCTTATCTGCATGGACAGTCCAGGGTCCCCTGCTATGGACACTTCCCTATCAACAATGACCATCTGCTGAAACCACGGAACAGGGGATCACACACGCGACCCTCAGAGCCGCAAACACAGAATTGCACGTGCTCTAAAACAGGCAGATTGGAGGAGGTGCCATGCTAGACAGTTCCTGGAAAAGTATGAATATGCATAAATGTCTATGAATAAGCATTAAGCTGATGCAATACGAAATGTATTTCAAGATGTCTCCTGTCAATAGCAGTAGTGTTTTTGGCAGATCGCCAAAGCACCCGGTGCCCCCTCAGGTGCCGTTTTTCTTTTGCTTTCTGTCCCCTATTGCCATTTATTAAACTTTTAAATTTTAATAGGAGAGTGAACTTCATTTTTCACATGATCAACAGCTTCTCTCCCCACCAGCATTTTGTGCAGACACGTTATTGAAATCATCATGATAAACCTGAGGGGCTGTATGGGATGTTGTATAAAGAGTTAAGTTGTTCCATCCTGGCCATCTGCAGCCCTCCCACCTTTGTCAGACTTAGGGAAAAGAGGCTGAATTTTTGTTTTCCATACTCATGGCTGTGTTGACATCCCCAGTCCCTGCCCTCGAGCTTTGGCTCCAGTGATACAGGGAGGATATTTAGGAATCTTCCCAGCCTGACCATTCAAGGGACTCTCTCAACGCCAGAGATTTCCGTGGCAGAGACCAAAGCCTCTTCACAGTGGGCAGCTCCAGTGAGTCCACGAGTGCCCCCTTGACTCCCCCTACACCCTACTCACACAGYCAGACTAGGTTTCCTCGACCCCAGGTTTCCCATAAAAGAGTCTCAGATGTCTCATTGAACAAAGCCATTTATTCACGGTGCAGTAACACAGAAAGAGCCCAAGCTAGTTCCTCTGAGGAGGGATCCCCAATAAGCCCTGGATATCCCCAGTGAGGGGATAAAAGGGGTATCCAGGGCTTTAATCCCCTCGCTGTCTGCCCGCACTCAAGCCTTGCTTTTCCTTCTCAATCCTCTTCTCCTTCCCCCTCTCTGTGTCCATCCACTTTGCTGGCTCATCCGTTGTCTGCTCTGTTATCTAAAAGGTCAGCAATTCCCGCTCCTGCTGTGTCTCTCAGTGTCCATTTACCTGTCTGGCACCACCCATTTTCCTGCTCTTTGTTATCCCAAGGGCTGGCAGTTCACAGCTTGTTGTCTCGGGCTCCCACCCAGAGCTCAATCTGCATTTCCATCTGCATCTCTAACTGCAGCTTGCAAGCCCAGCTAACCGGAGCAGACTTATTCCTCAACAAGAGGTCTGTACCAACCCCTCAGCTCACCTCTGCTGCCTTCCACTGAGGTTTATTTGAGAGGGGCCTCTTGTTCCTTGTGAAGCTGGTTAAGACGGTGTCATTGGTGTCCCCTTGAGGACTCGGTTGGTTCTTTTGGCGGCCCCCTGCCTTTGTCACTGTTTGCTGCTGGCTCCTTTTTCTTATCCTTGCTTATCACCAGTCTAGAGCTGAGCTTTGTTCTCCCAGCTTGATACCAGCAAGATTAGGCACACCTCCTGGGCACGTGATAGTCCAGGATTGATGGGGAAAGCCAGGCAGGACCTGCTTGCTGCTGCGGGAACAATGGGCTGTGGATATGGGCATAGCAATGGGGACATTTATCATGATCCATTGAGGTCTGGGATGTGGCTTCCCATGGTCTGGTCACAGGCAAAGTGGGGATATGTGAGGCCAGGAGAAGAGGGTGGGTGGCAAACCTGAATGGTGTGGAGGCTGCACTGGGTATCAGCAGTGCCCTCATTCACTTGGAAACATCCCTGAAGGATCGATCCTGCTCCTTGAAGTGTTCATCAGAGCACTGGATGATGGGTTTGGGATGGCCTCAGGCAGCTGGGGCGCAATACCAAACTGGCCAGTAGTGTGTTGGACTGGGACACAGCGAGGCCTGGAGAGATGGTTTGATTGGAGCCTGCTGGTACTGGAGTGGGTGAAAATGCAAATCCTGCAGTGGGAAGGAAGAACAAGCCCCACACATCAAAATGGGCAAGTAAGCCGCTGTACTGAGCCAGCCAGCCACGAACAAGAGGTTGGATGGGGTCTGCAGTGTGTTCCTGTAGTGGCACTGTGGGCAGTGGAGCTGGAGTTCAGGGCTTCAGGAGCAGGGGGACGTCTGGACTCCCCAGGAGAAGCCAGACACATGGAGTCCTTGTTTTGCATGACAGCTGGGACTGTAGGAGACCTTCTGTAATCCTGTCCCAGCCTTCCCATGCCATCAGGCTGGCTCCACCAGCCTCCTTCTATGAGAGCACTCCCAGGAGCTGCCCTCTCAGTCTGAAGCCATTTCCTGTTGCCCTTTTGTTACAAATCCTTGTGCATAGTCTGTCTCCAGCTTTCTTGTAGCCCCTTTTGGTTCTGGAAGGCCACAGTAAGTTTTCACTGGGGCCTTCTCTTCTCCAGGCTGGACAATCCCAATTGTCCTCACAGGAAAGGTGCTCCATCCCTCTGATCATTGTGGTGTCCCTCCTCTGGGCTGGCTCCAGCACGTCCCTGTCCCTCCTGTGCAGGGTCCCCAGGGCTGGATGCTCCAGGTGGGTCTCAGCAGAGCGGAGCAGAGGGGCAGAATCCCCCTCCCTCCCCTGCTGCCCACAGTGCTCTGGGTGCAGCCCAGGACACGTTTGGCTCTCTGGGCTGTGAGTGCCATGGCCGGGGCATGTCCAGCTCTCACCCCCAGCACCCCCGAGTCCTTCAGGGCAGGGCTGCACTCGGTCTGTTCGTGCCCAGCCTGGGCTGATCCCGGGGCACCCCAAGGACCCCCTGACCCAGGGGCACCTCCAGAGCTTGGCCTTGTTAAAATTCGTGAGATTCCCATGGGCCACTCCTCTAGTTTGTCCAGGTCCCTCTGGATGGCATCTTGTCCTTCAGGCGTGTCAAACCATCACTCATCTTGGTGTCACCTGCTGAGGGTGCAGCTGATCCCACTGTTCACATTGTTGACGAAAGCATTAAATAACATTGGTCTCAGTATGGATCCCTGAAGGACAGCACTTGTCACCAATGGGCACATCAGGACACTGAGCCATTGACCACCATCTTTTGGATGCAGCCGTCCAGCCTCACCCACTGAACAGCTCAGCCATTGAATCCATCTCTCTCCAGTTTAGAAGGGGCCTTGTTGAAGGCTTCACAGAAGTCCATACAGAAGATGGTTCACTGATGCAATCAGGCCACTGCAGAAGGCCACTGGTGGGTTAGGGTGAGGCAGGGCTTGTGGTGAAGCTGTCTCAAGTACAGGTTAGAAAAACAGTTTCCAACACATCCCCCTCTCTGCAGAAACACTGCAGAGACAGGGAGGGTCRGCGCTGCACCTGGACTCTCCCACCCGCCCCAGCTGGTCCTGGACCTCTCATCACCCTTCTTTGGTAGATCAAGTCCCACCACATTCTTAGGGATCATTCCCCCTTTCTCCCCTTTCCCCATGTTTCCATGTCTCCCTTCTCTCTGCTGCAGTCTTATCAGTGCACCTCCATTTCCTCCCACCACCCTAATTTGCAGGTGAACTGCACCCCCTTTCTTTCTATGCTCTCAGGATTCCCACATTCACCTCCCACCATCTTAGGGCTCTTCACTGCACTCCTTTTCTTCCTGTGGTTTCAGGGTTTCCTCATTCACCCTCCACATTCTCAGGGCTTCCAGCACTCCCCCATCTTCCATACGGTCTCAGGGGTATGAGAGCAGCTTCTCATGCTGATGGCATCTCTGTCCACACCTTTCCCAGGCAAAACCCAGCCCAAAGCCCTGGGCAGGTGATGCCCGCAGGAGAAAGGGCAGGGTGAGAGCTATCATTGCCAAGAGAAGGCCACAAAGCCACAGGGGTCCCCAAAATGGACACATTGGGACATCAGCGTGTCATATCCCCAGCTCCAAAAAGATGCAGATCCTGCACCCCTGGCAGCCTTGGGGGAACAGAGAAGGTGGGAGCTGGGCTCTGCACTGGAGACCTGGGCCACAGCTGTGCTGGCCAGGGCACACAGGGACACGCAGAGGCACAGTACAAAGCAGTATAATGTGTGTATGCATGAGTGTGAGAGAGGGGAATAAGGCCTATTTTCCATAATCCTTGCTTTAAAATAGAGATATCATTTCCCAGCAGTTTTGCAACGCAGCTGAGGCAAAGTGTGAACTGGGGACAGGGTCTCAGGGTGCACTCCCAGGTCCTGTCCCTGAGTCCAGTGATGGAGGGGAGTGGCAGCAGTCAGTCTTTGGCCAGGAAAGGAGGTAGGGTCTTGGATGCACTGCTTGGCTTTCGAGGTTTCTCACAGATTCCCTGAAGGAGATGCTGGCATGGCGAATCCCATATTTCCCCACCATCTATTGCCAGGCAGCCTTGCCTAGGAAAGAGGGTACATCTCACAGCAGCAGTGACAATATCCTCACTGTGGACACCACCTCCCACAGATCCCAGTGCTGCTGGGGCAGGTAGAGCACCTGGCACAGAGATCAGTCTGAGCAAGGGTCACATCCCTCCTCCTGCTCTTCTTTGCCACTTGGATATTTGGCACAACCAAACCTTGGTTCCACCCTCACCCCCCTCCCTTCGGGCACTGCTCATGGCATCATCACCCTCTTTGCTGAGGGGTGTCACAGGGGCAAAACAGCACCTTTCTAGCATGGCAAAAGGGTGGGTGCTTGTGCCAAGCATTTTTGCACTTACTGGTGTTTGTTGTCCACTTGTACAGAAGAACTCCTTGTCACATAAGGTATTCTTGTTCCAATCCAGTACTTTGTACCAGAACCCCGCATAAAATCCTGGGGCAGGAAAAGAAGCTGTCAACCACCTGCTTCATAACCAGCACTCGCCTTGGTGCCCAGGAGCCCCAGGACTGGCTGTGCTTCTCCCCGCAGAATGCCAGGATGGGCACCTGGGGCTCCCAGTGCCACCCATCCTGGATTGACTCCGCTGGCCCTGCAGAGCTCTGCCCAGCCCCACCCTCCCGGGCTACCACAACCCCCCTGTTCTGCACTACCAATGGTGCCCAGTCCTCTTTGGCCAGCAGTTGAGCCTCTCTGTCTGCGCAGCCTTTCTTGCTCTCCTGCCAGGTCTGCATTGTCGCCAAGATGAAGAGACACTTGGTCCTGTAGAGTATCCAGCCCCTGGGGCAGCACTCTGGAGGCAGAGGCACAGCTCAGGCACTCATCCTTCTGTGGATGCTCGGGGGCCCCAGTCTGGCTGGGTTCAGCCCCCGCATCTCCACAGCAGTGACATGGCCTGTGCCCCCACCCTGTCAGGCTCTACCTGAATACATGCAGGCACGCAGGCTGCTCACAGTGCCCTCACTGCTCCTGAGCTTCTCTTGCACCACCTCCATCTTGTCCTGCAATACAGCCAGGTCCAGCTTGCTACGTCCCAGCTCTGCAGTCTTCCTTCTCAGCTCCACCTGGGTATGCACCAGCTCATTATTCTTCCTCTCCAGCTCCAGCTGGGTACTCCTCAGCTCAGTATTCCTCCTTTCCAGCTCGAGCTGGGTACGCCCCAGCTCAGTATTCCTCCTTTCCAGCACCAGCTGGCTGATGTTGCCCTCACGCCACGCTCGCTGCAGCTCTGCCCTGGCCCACGCCAACTCCAGCTGTGTCCGCTCCAGGCTCTGCCCCTGCGCCCTCAGCTCCTGTGACAGGCGGCCCTGCTCGGCTGTGTGCTCACGGGAGGTGTCCTCCAGGCTGCGGGTGACCTGCCAGTCTGGGGACAGGGCAGGTGAGATGGACATGGCCATGAGGCCCTGACTGGTGCATGGCTCTTGTGAGGGAAAGTAGGATGAGAGGGTCTGGCTGTGGGTGGAGTTGTCCTGGGTGTGCCAGTGGGAAGCAAAGGAAGTGCCAATGGTGGCAAATGGAGGGGAGACATTGGAAGGCAGTGGGAGACAGTGGGAAGGCAAGGAGAAGGCTGCGGAAGGCAGTGGGAGGTAATGGGAAGGCAGTGGAAGGCAGTGGGAGGCAGCAGCAGGCAATGGGAAGCAGTGGGAGGGTTTGGGGGCAGGGGGAGGACAGTGGGACACAACGGGAGACAGTTGGAAGAAAATGGGAAGGCAATGGGAGGCAGTGGGAGGCAATGGGAAGACAGCAGGAAGCGGTGGGAATACAATGGGAGGCAGTGGGAGGGAGTGGGCGGGAGTGGAAGGCCATGTGAGGCAGTGGGAAATTGGAGTGGGAATGGGAGGCAGTGACAGGAGGGCAGTTGGGGGGATTAAGGGTCAATGGGATGGAGTGGGAGACAGTGGGAAGGCAGTGAAAAGAGCGTGGGAAGCAATGGGAGGCAGCGGCAGGAAGTGGGAGGCAGTGGGAGGGAGCGGCAGGTACTGTGTGGGAGGACAGGGGCAAGACCATGGGAAAGGGTGGGAGGCACTGGGAAAGGCAGTGGGAAAGGCAGTGGGACGCAGCTCCTGATGGCCATGAAAGAACCCCAGAGCCGGGCCCCAGCCACCCCTCCTCCCCCAGAGCCCCCCAGCAGCCTGTCCCGCTCCCGGTGCCGCCCCCCCGGCCGCCCCCACCCCGCGGCAGTCACCCACTCACAGCAAGCCCCCAGGGCCACGACGGCCACCACCAGCAGCAGCAGGAGCAGGCTGGCTGCCAGCGGCGCTGTGGGGACATGCCATCGCCGGGTCCAGCGCCCTGCAAGAGAGGAGCACCCGCGGGCATCACTCCGCGGTCCCCTGCCACCACCCCGACCCGGGTGTCCCCGCGACAGCGGCTGCGGGCGGGTTCCCACCTGGGCTGGGCTCTTCTGTCACCGGCCCCAGCGGCACGTTCTCGTAGGGACTGTCATTGTCGTCGGGGACTGCGGATGAGGGGCCCGCGGCAAACTTCAGGTCGGCATAGACCACGCTCTGGGCCATGCCCCGGGCTACCCCGATGGCCCTGCGGGCTCTGCTCTGCTTCAAAGGAAAAGTGCAGCTGGTTTCTGCAGAAGCAGAAGTGCGCTGAGGTGCGGCGGAGGGGAAAGTACGGCCACAGCACCGGCACCCTGCCATTGGTCCAGCACTGTTCCCCTTCACACCCCAAAACTGCTCAGAGTCCCCGGGGATGGCACTGGGGCGGTGCAGCTTGGGGCTAGAGCAATGAGCAGAGCTGTAGGGCTCAGCCTACAGAGAATTGACAGAATTCTCTGAGGCATGGGAGAGCAGATCTGGCTTCCAAATGGGAACAAGTAGCTCTGCAGCTGACCCCATCCAGGACGGAGGTCTCCTCTCCTTTGTGCTCTGCTCCAAGATCTGAGCATCACTGCCCTAATGACTAAAAGGGATTTTCACATTGCAATATGATCTTTCACTTCTCCTCTCATCATGGCCACATCTCTCCACTCTGCCAGCAAGAATCGAATAGAAAACCATATCTAGACCTAGAAGGGTCATGCTAAATGGCCCCATTGCTCACCTCTTGTCCCCAGCCCAGTGCTTGCAAGCAGCAGTAGGTACATTGGGCACTCAACCAAAAAATCCCATTGGCTTTCCCCAGCATGACCTCCCTGGGCCTGGGCCCCTGCATGGCCAGGAGGACATGCTCCATTCTCTTCCAGGAGATTGAGTAGAGGCTGCCCAGCCTTTGGCTTTCCAAACTTYCTTCCTGTCCCCTTTGAAGCTGGGTCTGATTTTTGCTTTTCTCCACGGATGAAGAACTTCCCTTGCTCTTGCAGAAATGTTGGACAGTGTCCTCGCAATGCTGTGCTCCACCAGGACCAGTGTACGCTTCCAGTTCTGTCCTAGGCACTGGCTGTGTCCAGATGTGCCCATCTGGCCCCCAGCTCAACATACCTTCTGAACCCTGCCTTTCTCTGGACATTGTTCAGGCGAGACCTCTGAGATGCTGAGGGGCTGGAAACACCAAGAACAAGGCGCAGTGGATTGTGAGATTGTGGTTCTGGGAAGGCAGGGCAAACTGGATGCCGTCGATGTCTGTAACTCTCCAGGGCAAAACCCAGCAATGCCAAAGCTGGGTCTCCTTAGGAGGGGATCAGGGAGAGGATGAGATGCAGTGGAACAAACGACTTCATGGGGAAAATCCCATTCTCAGAGGCTGGGAGGAGAAATCTCTGTCAGAACCTCCAGCCCTCCACAGAGCTGTCCACTGGGCAGTTTGCTCCTGTATTCAGAATTGCTCTGATCTCCCCAGCTCTCCCCTAGCCCATGGATGTGGGTCTATCTTTGCTCTGCCACTGCTGTGGCATCTCTGCTGCTCTGGCCCTGCCCTGTGCTGAGGGGGACCATGACAACTTTTAGGATGTGGGAGGTGACAGGCCAGTGTTTCTGGGACCAATGAGAGGGTGCGGGTCCCCACAGCCGTGCCTCACTGGTCCCATCTGCTACAGTGCAGAGCAAACTTCTGCTTCTGCAGATGCTGGCTGCACTTCTCCTTTGCACCTCCGAGGGACGGCACAGTCACCAGGAGCAGGGACACCTCMGAAAGRCATCCCAAGGGCGGAGCGGGAGCYRGCAGGGCTCAGGGCTCRCCCAGAGTTTGYCCACATGGCCCAGCTTTATGCTGACCTGAGGTTTGCCAAAGTGATGGGGGGCCGGAGCATGACCAGCCAGGCGCTGGAGGAAGGTGAGAGCCCAGCAGCCCTTCCACACTGTCCCTGCCATGGCCAAGCCCTTGGCCTCAGCTGCTCTCCYCTGCCTTCCTCCAGCAGCCCTCGGCATGAATGAAGCAGAGAGCCCCTATGAGAACACGCAGCCGGCRCTGCCAGGGCAGGATGGGGACGGAGCAGAGCCCAGCCCAGGTGAGTATCTGGTGGGTTCCAGCGGACCCAGCCTGGTTCTGGTATGGGTGGTGGGTGGTGTTTTGGGGTACTCCCATCCCCCACACCATGCCMCCTGTAACACCACTCTGCTGCCTGCAGGCAGGAGGTCTGGGGGCTGCCAGGGGTTTTCCAGCTCTCTCCAGGTGATGTCTGTTGTCTGCTGTGTCTTGCAGGGCACTGGTCCGGTCGGTGGTGCATCCCTGTGGGTTTGCTGGCAACCTGCCTGCTGCTGGTGGCCACTGTGGTCCTGGGAGCTTGTTGTGAGCTGGGGGACAGTGCACACCTGGGGTGGGGAGTGGGTGGGTCAGGGAGGCAGCAGGGCAGGGGTGGGTGAGCGGGGGTGAGTAGAGGCCTGCCCATGCACTCACRGTGGAGTCCCTCTGCCTTGTGTGCCACAAGCTGCCCTGTGTCCCTCACATATCCCTCACACCTCCCTTGCCTCCCATCATCCATATTCCTCTCCTTACTCCTCATTTCTTCTCCTTTTCTTTCCCACCCTGGTGTTGCCCAGCCTCATATTTCCACACCCTCCCTGCCCCTGCCCCRCTGTGTCTGCTCCTACAGCCCATCCTGCCTTGGCAGCCAGTCAGATCCTGCCCAACCCTTAACTGTACCCTTCCCTGCTGCATCCTTCCCTCCCATCCTGTCCCATTCCTCATRGATAACTCCCTGCTTTGCCCTACCTGTCCTACCCACCTTGAGCAGGCTCAGCCCCACGTCTGGACTGTCCCATGTCTATCTCACCCACTCTGTCCCCAGACTGGCAGGTCACCCGCAGCCTGCAGGACACGTCCCTCAAGCACTCAGCCGAGCAGGGCCGCCTGTCACAGGAGCTGAGGGCRCAGGGGCAGAGCCTGGAGCRGACACAGCTGGAGCTGGCGTGGGCCAGGGCGGAGCTGCAGCGAGCGTGGCGTGAGGGCAACATCAGCCAGCTGGAGATGGACAGACTGACCGAGGAGCTGCACCAGGTCACGGGGGCCCTGGGCAAGGCCGAGAGGGAGGTGCAGGAGGTGCAGCGGAGGCTCAACAACAGCGAGAGCACTGTGGCCCTCCTGCGCTCCTGCACAGCTATAGGTAGGGTGCTGATGGAGCAGGGACGGGGTGCCCCAGGTGACTGGTGCCCCCTTGAAAGGGACATCTTCTGGCTTTTTTGGCACAGGGTGGTTCAAAGGCTGAAGCTATGCTTGGAGCAGATGCTGAGCCTGTGCTGTCTGCTGGGAAGGTGTTGGGGCTGTTCTTTATTCCCCACCCATGGAATCTGTGGCTTAGAAAGCCCCTGAGCTGTGCCCCTACCCACAGATTGCTGCCCTTCGGGCTGGCTGCTGTACAGGGGCAAGTGCCTCTTTGTCTCCTCGGAGAAGAAGACATGGGAAGACAGCAGAGATGAGTGTGAGAAGACATATTCTCAGCTYCTGGTCACCAAATCCTGGAGTCGCTGGACTGTGCCGGTAGGTGATGAGGGCAGGAGCTGGTATATCCAGCCATGGGGTCCCCGATGGGCTAGCCCTGCTCTGGGGGACCCCTGTCCTGCCAGAACATTGCAGGGTGCAAGGCTGATGTCTGGAGCCCATGGCTGRTGGCTGACATGGGGCAGAGAGGCTCTGGCACCCCTGGATGTTTCCCAAGCTGCAGCAGGGCACTGAGGCAGCTCAGCTGTCCAGCCCCAAGAAGCTCCAACCCCAGAGGCTCTTTGGGCAGGGAACCACACAGTACTGCAGCACACAGGTGCCATGGAACAAAACATGAAAAGGCACCTTTTCTTCTTCTCCAGACYTTCCTGAAGAATGCAGATGTCCCATATTGGATTGGGCTGCAGAAGGGCAGCTTTCCCTGGTATGACTATGGGTGGCTGGAGGAAGAGGACCCRGACGGCGAGGGGGGCTCGGAGGCCTGGTTCTGGGTGGATGGCTCCCTTTACGAAAGGTACACGGCAGCAAGGCCTCTTGCCAAGGCTCCTCTCCTCCAGCGTGGCTCTGAGAAGCATTTTAAATCCCAGCAGTGCCCAGTGCCTGGCACAGGCACTGGGAAACAAGCAGCATCAGAGCAGCAGGGGCTGAGGAAGGTGGGTGCACTGGTGTGATGAGGCGCTTAGAGGACAGGCAAATGGAAAGCCAAGACTTGGGGTGGGGGTAAAATGCAGGGCATGGGAAGCAGGAGGCAGCAAGAGTGGACAAAAGGAACATCAAGTGTTGTATGGGACATAGCGAAGGTGTTTGAGCACCACCTCTATCCCCCAAACCTACGCCTTCTTGATTCCTCTCCRAAGGGAAATCAAGCCTTGCTGTCTGCAGAGTCCTGGGCTTCTCCCTGCCACGTGCACCTCCTCAGCTCGCTGCTGCTTCCTCTTGCAGTGTCTGAGAGCAGTGGGGAGGAACAAACCTGTCTGGCCAGGTTCTGGGTACCTGGCCCTCCATCCTCAGCCCTGTCACGGGGACTGCACCCAACACCGACCCAGGGCTCAGCTCCTCTGGTCATCCCTGTGCCCACAGAGGACCTGGCTCTCCCCACTGTAGAGATGGAACAAACCCCCAGCAACAAGGCTGAGAGGCTGAGGGGTGTTTCAAGCACTGCAAACTTTTTGCAGAAGTGTTTCTCAGCCTGCCCGAGGAAGCACAGGGATGCATCAGCTGAGCCTTCAGCCTGWGAGATCAGTAGGGGAGGACTGGGGGATCCCCCTTTGATTGCAGCATCCAAGCCCTCCTCTGCCAGCGTACAAAAGGCAGTTTTCAGTAGCTGCAGCCGCCTCGGCAGGGTTTGCAGCCAGAATGTGTCAGTGTCTGATGTGCTGTTTCCCTGTTCAGGCCGTGGCAGTCAAAATCGAACGGAACCTGTGCCATAATAAGCCGTGGGAGCATCAAGCCCGAGCAGTGCACGGGTCCCAACGATGTGCACCTCTGGATCTGTGAGAAGGCAGCAGGGCCGAGCTTCCCTTTCAAGTGATCATGGCTGCTGGCCCCAGCACTGCTGTGGTGAGTGCCCACATCAGTTTCTGCTGAGTCTGGGACCCAAGGGGCCTGGGAGGGTGCATGGAGGAAAGCAGGGAGCCTGCAGCTCTGCCTGGGGCATGTTGAGCCCCTCACTGGAAAGGGAKAGGAATGCAGCCACCTCCCTGTGCTGGATGGAGCCTCCTCCATCCCTTGCCATGGGTGTCCTGGGTCTGAGGTAGCTCAAGTGGATTCCCTGAAGCTGTGGCTCAGCAAAGGTGCAAGATGGGGGGAAAACCCTCTGAGAGGTGCCTTTCCAGCCCTGTGGCATGCAGTGGAGACTGGGCAGCATCTCACCCTCACCTTCACCTTCACCCTCACCCTCCTCTGCTTTCCCTTGCAGCGCCTGCACCCTGCACCGCCTCTGCTCCAGCCTTGCTGCATCCCTGCTYAGGATGTCCCATCCATTCAAGCAAACCACTTCCTTCTCACAGCTCGCTGCCCCTGGGCCACCCAAGTCCTTCCCAGCGATGCCCAGTGGCCCTTTGCCTCCAGCTGATGTGCTTTGCAGAGCAGTACAGGCCCCACAGCCCACCCCACACCTGCATGGGACACTTTGGSTCTTCCTGAGCACAGGGGCTAGTGGGCAACGGGGAGCCTGGAACTGGCTGCAAACGGAGCAAGCCCTGATGGTCAACGCTGGAGCCACACCCCATCGCCAGCATGGAGCGAGCTGTGGGGCTGGCTGCCAGCAGCAGGAGTTGGGGACAGCACAGCCCCACACCCACACAGTCCCCTCCCCACAGCAGGAATTTTCTGCCTGACCCCATTGCAGGAGCAGCTTGGCCATGGCTTTCAGAAAACCCAGCACTCAACAGCMTCGGCAAAGCCTCGGCTCCCACGGAAGGAAGCTGAGCCCAAGCTGGCTGATGCCTGTGCTGACATTTGGGGATTTTTTTTTTTTTAATTTTTTTTGCACTAATGAGAAAGTAGAGCAGTGACCTTTAGGGTCCTACGGTGTGACTGCGCCTTTCAAAAGTAAAACTTAACTCAGGCGCTTGTAGCAGGCTGACGCTTTGCGAGACAGCTCATCGGGACTTTAAATAGCTGCTACACACGTGCACGAGTGAAGATTAAACAAAGTAGCCCTGATGTAACACTGCGGCCAGGTGAGAGCAGAGGAAGTGATGTTCAACCAGGCGAAAATGCTCTGGGTTTACKATGGGGTGGTGTGTGCCATATATAGTTGATTAACTGCTACGGCTAGTGCGCTTGCATGAAGAGCGAAAGGGTGTTAAAGGCAGCTTTTTGGAGGTGGCACGTGTCACTCGTCTGTCTAATCTGCTGTCTGAACCTACTTTGTAGCAATAAAGACACCCAGTTGGTCTGCTCTTTGCTTTCTTGTATACCACAGCCAACAAGGACTCAGGGGTGAGAATACAAAGAATCTAAATAATGAATGGGAATTTGTCTGAGGCCATCTCAGTCGAGATGGACGCTTCGGGGGAGTTGAGATCTTGGCCTGTGCCAGGCTGGTGAGCAGTCAGAGGAGGTCCCCAGAATGCCAGGCAAGACCATGCAATTTTTTGGGCCTGGGATCCCCGGCACACCTGATGTGCATCCAAGAGATGAAACCCACAGTCTGAGTTGCTGGGACATTCAGTTTTTATTGAACACTTTAAATAAGCTGAGTATATATTACTAGCAATTATTATTAATAATAATAATAAAAAACACAAAGAGTTCTGCATTCACCAGTGCATTGTGCAGGAGGGAGGAAAGCCGGCTCCCACCCTTGCCGGGGGCCAGGCAGCTTAGCTGTGCTGCCCGCTGGCCCCATCCCCATGATGCCAGGATGGCATCCTGGCCCCTCTGCCAGCATCCTGCTCCCAAACCTGCGTGCCAGGGGGATGCGAGGCGCTGTGCTGGCTCAGCACCCAGCCCTCAGCATCGGGCAGGCAGGGACCACCCCAGTGCTGGCAATCCTCCCCGTGCACTGCCCAAGGGCATTGCCCTTCTCCCGGTCCCCTGCCCTCTTCTCCCCCATGTCAGGGACTGGCTGTGCTCCCCACGCTTGTGGAAACACATGGGTTCACCCACCAGAGCCCCAGGATCCCCAAAAACACACATACACACGCTGACCTCTCTACCCCAGCCCAGTCCCTCTCACCCGCCGGGGTGCAGGGCACTCCCAGTTCTCCCGAAGTTGCAGGCTCATTGTACACCCCTCTGCGAGAGCCTGCAGAGGGGTGAGCCCTTGGGGAAAGGGGATCCTGGATCCAGGGCTTGAGCCCCGTGGCCCCCGCGGGGGACCAGCCCTGCCGCTTGGGGCAGTGCTCAGGGCAGCGGTGTTATTGCACTTTGGTCCCCAGCAGAGACCCAGCCCACCTCCAGGCTTTCCTGCAGATCCCCAAGGCTGATCCTGGTGGGGTGGGTGCCCGAGCGCCCGGGCAGCGCCGCGGCAGCCACAGCACACGGCACCACGGCCACTGGTGTCCGCCACGCTGAGCGAGGGCAGACCGTGGGGACGGGCCAGGCTCCTGCACTGCCCCGTGCTGTGGCTGCAGAGGGGCGCAAGGGGCGGCTGGACGCAGCCCCGCTCCCCGGGGTCCCCATCACTAGGACTGTGCCTCCGGCAGCTTCAGGCTGGGCTCGGCCAGCACTGGCCCCGGGGCTTTCTGGTGTCGGCCCCGATCATGGCAGATGAGGCTCTTGGCCTCGCAGTTGAGGTTCTGGTAGCGGGGCGGGCTGGGCGCTGGCCGGTGGCAGATGGAGGCAAAGCTGAAGCTGAAGGGACTCAGGCAGCAGCCGGGGCAGGGCAGCACCTCATCCTGCTCCAGCACGGCACCGGAGCTGTGCCCGGGCAGCATGGCCGAGCGCTCCGTCCGCTCCAGCGCCGCCGCGCAGGAGATGCTGAGCTCGGAGAAGCCGTGCTCCAGCCCGCTGCCCCAGGCCAGAGGTTTGCTGACCATCATGTGGTTGTTGTTGATGAGGAGCCCGTTGGGGGCTCGCACGTCTGGCTGCCAGGGCCGCGCCCCCGGGGAGGCGGTGCGGATGAAGTTGCTGTTGAGGGGCAGCGCGGTGGGCTGCGGTGGCTCAGAGCTGTCGGGGCCGCAGTCCATCTGCTCCTCTGCCCTGGGGCTGGGGGTAGAGGCTCCTCCCCACGCTGGGGGAGGAGGGAGGGCGGGGGGTTTGGGGTCATCGGTGCGTTGGGGGGATCCTGCTCCCAGCTCCACGCCCCCGCGGTGGGGCAGCTCGGGAGAGGCGGGCAGAGAGTGGCACTTGCGGGGGCTGGTGGCGGCTGCTGAGAAGTCACACTGCACCTCCACGGCGGGCTCGGGCGTCACGGGGGTGCTGAGCTGCAGCGGGGCGGGGGGCGGCAGGTCGAACGTGAGCGAGATGACCGACTTGCTCGGCGTATCAAAGAGCTTGATCTTCCCCCCCTTCAGGTCCTCACGCTGGGAGAAGGGGTTGACACGGGGGGACGCCTCCTTGGACCTGGCCCCGCTGCAAGGCTCCAGCGGCCACAGCAGGGCAGGTGACTTGGGAGGGAACATGTCGGACTGGCTGCGGGACAGGCGCTGGTCTGGCTGCAGGTGCTGCGTCCCCAGCTCACGCAGGGGCGACTGCTCCGTGTGGCTGGCTGACCTCCTGGCCACTCCTGGGCATGGGCACAGGGCAGGGTCACCAGCAGCCAGCAGCTGCCTGTGTGGGGTGCTACAGGGTGCTGGGCACCCAAGAACTTAGGGGTGCACCCCAAGGGAGGAACGGGAACCAGCTCCATCCTGCAGCCCCATCCCCTTCCCCTACAGCTGATGGGGTAGGATGGGACACCCCACACTCCCTCATCCTTGTGCCCTGCTATGGCCCTTCCCCGAGGCGCCCACGTACCACTGAGCGTGGCTGCAGTCCCAGACGCAGGCAGGCTCTCCCCGATGCCGAACAGGGTGGCCCCAGCACCCTCRGCGGCCAGCTGGTGCTGCAGGATGCTCTCCAGGCACTGCGTGATTTCCAGGAATGAGGGGCGGGAGGTGGGCTCCATCTGTGGGCAGGAGGGATTCCCTGTCAGGTCTGTGCCTCCTCAAACACCCCAGAGAGCCCTGCACAGCCAAGGCAGCTCCCTGCTCTTGCTGTGAGCAGGCAAGGCAGCCTGAGCAGGAAGGGCAGCAGAGTGGGAGTCTCACACTGCAGCAGTGAAAAGCCAGCTGGAGGAAGGCCGCCGGGCAGTCAATTCCCACCATGGTGCGGAAAGTGGTGACATCCAGACCAAAATCCTGCACCAGGAAAAGGAAGAAGAGGGAGGTTGTGTCTTCTGGGACACCACAAGTCCCATACGACTCGAAATGCCTGTCCCCCCACTATACCGAGTGCCACCCAGGGCTGTGGACCTGGAAGCATTCCAGCTGGGGCAAGAAGGACCCTGATGTTGCCCCAAATTGGGGTAATGCTAGGGATGCTGGGAAATGGATATCTCTTCTGGTCTCTGTCTGAATCCATGTGTCCCGTTCTCCCATCCAGGCTGGCTACGGGTTCTCAGGTTACCAGCACAGACCATCCCTCCCCGGGCAGCAAGTGGCACACACAGCATCCCTGCCCTGAGATGTGGGGCAGGTCCTGCACATGGGTCTCTGCCCAGCATGGAATGGCCCCCYCTTGTTTGATGGAGTGTTCACAGCCCTGGTGCTGCTGCCCACYGCTCTTCCCCCCATTCCCATCCCTGAGAGTCACCTCAGTGCGGGGCAGGTAGTCGGGGTCAGCGGGGACACGAGCGATGGTCTCGCACAGGATGATGCCGTATGCAAACACATCAGCCTGTGGAAAGTGGGAGTCACGGGGGTGCTCCACAACCCTGAGGACATGTGCCCACCATGCTGCAAGRCCACAGCCCTCCTCCTCCCTGCAGAGCCACACTGGGGCTCTGGCACCTCATCACCAGAGGGATGTCCAATTCCTTACCTCTAGGTGCACCCCAGGGCTGCAAACTCTGCAAACCACTGGCACCACAAGCCTGAGTAA